CTCCAAAAATCCATTATTTTCTGAGCAGCAGATAAGCAGGAGCTCTGGCTGCTTTCCCGAGCCTGACTTCACCAACAAATTAATTGCTTGTACCACGTCCATTACAGTTGTCCAAGCTGACCTCTGCCTGCATGGCAGCCTCTGCCACATCACCAATATTTGAAGGATTGTTTTATTCCTCCTTCCTGCTGGTCCATCACTCCTTGGGCTGCTTCCACTGGCTGGCTGTGACAGGATTCTGTGTCTGCTCTGCCAGCTGCCCAGATAAAGGCAATGTTTAATTCCACAGCAGCTCTGACAGTAGATCCTCCTGTATGGGGATCACACCACACCCTGAAGGGTGCCAGCAATGAGCCCCTTTCTTTCTGACAGTCTTTGCTTATCCAGTAGAAATTTGGCTGAGTCTTCTTTGACAGGCAAGTTAAGAAATGGTTTTGAATATTCTCTTGGATGTGTCTAACCAGTGTTTACTTGTAAACAAATTCTCTTGCCAAAAAAAAAATCAGGCTTGCCCCTGGGCTCTGGGAATTGTCACCAGCCTCCTGTCCCCAAGGCACAGTGACCTGAGCTCCTGTTCTGAAAGGGAATTGCTGCGAGAGCACCCAAAAGCTCTTGGGAAGAGCAGGGCCTTCCTCCCCTGCCCTTCTGCTCCTCCCCTGGGCTGGGAATGATGGCACCTGATCCCTGCTCCTGACTCTTTGACCACAGAGTCACAAAGTCATTGATCCACCTTCAGATCCTCAGTCCAGGGGGGAGCCTGGCACTGCCAGGTCCAGACTGGATGGCACCAGCCCTCCTCCTCCTCCTCCTCCTGCTCCCAGAGCCTGTTGCTTCCTGAAGCAGTGGCAGCAGCCAGGGCACAGGAGGCAGCACCGGGAGCTGTTTGTTGGGTTTGGTTTATTTTTCTGGGGAATTTTTGGTTTGTTCTGTGTTTTTGGGGTTTTTGTTTTTGGTGAAGCAAATCTCCCCAGCACTGCAAAGCCTCAGGCAATGGGAGGGTGGAGAGACACAGGTGGGATTTTGGTTCTGGGTGCCTGGGCCTACCTGGAGGGGTACCAGTGCATCAGACCCCAGCGCTGAGCTCCCTGGCCTGGCATTGCCAGGGTGAGAAAAGCAGAATTGCTTCACTCTTACCCCAGGGGTCTCAGCCTGTGCAGGGGTGAGGACAGAGCTGCCAAGGTTGAAGGTACAGAAGATGTTCAGAGTCTGGGAGCTCAGAGTTGTGCTGGGAGCTGGGCTGGGCACACCAGTGACTCACAGTGAAGTGAAACACAGACTCACATTGCAATGGTTTCCCCCATTTCCATTTCCTCCTGTCCCATTAAAGTGCTGCTTTCCTGCACCAGCATCCCCTCCTGAGCCCTTCAGGATTCCCTGCAGGGATTGAGCCTATGGGGAAACACTCATGGCTCTGAGAGGGGGAATGCCATGACTCAGTTCTCCCCAGGAACTGCTGGTTGAGTGCTGAGTGTGGCTGTGAGTGTGGCTCTGAGTGCTGGATGCTCTGAGAGTGGCTCTGAGTGTGGAATGCTGTGTGAGGCTCTGAGTGTGGAATGCTCTAAGTGCTGGATGCTGAGTGCTGGATGCTGAGTGAGGCTCTGAGTGCTGGGTGCTTTGAGTGCTGGATGCTCTGAGTGTGGAATGCTCTGAGTGTGGAATGCTCTGAGTGCTGGATGCTGAGTGCTGGATGCTGAGTGAGGCTCTGAGTGCTGGATGCTCTGAGTGTGGAATGCTCTGAGTGTGGAATGCTCTGAGTGTGGAATTCTGTGAGTGCTGGATGCTGATTGAGGCTCTGAGTGCTGGGTGCTTTGAGTGCAGGATGCTCTGAGTGTGGAATGCTCTGAGTGCTGGATGCTGAGTGAGGCTCTCGAGGGGGGCTGGGAGGGAGGGGAGGGATCCTTTAGGTGCAGTGGGACAGGGGATGTTGCTCAGCACAGGTGTGACACTCTCTGCCGGGTTTAGTCAGTGCTGCCTCACCCCAGGTGTTCAGCAAGCCCAAGGAAATCACAGGATGACAGAATCTTTTGGTTGGAAAAGACCTTTCGCATCACCGAGGCTGATCTTTCTCCCAAGGAAAACACAGCAGAGAGAGATGCACAGGCTGTTATTATATTTAGTTTCCTGTCTGAGAGGGCCAGATTGGGTGTAGGTCGCTCAGAGCAGAGGGGATGGGGCTCAGGTACAACGAGAAGGAGAGTACTGCCAATTTGAAGAGCTCAGCTTCAAAGGCAGGAAACTGAAAACTGATAAACAGGGTTTCCAGGAGATGTGCAGTGGTCCTTGTTAGCACAGCAGCCAAGTACTTGGAAAAAGTGGGAGAGGGACTGGGCACTTCTATGGATACCAGAGTAGTGATTACTGTATCAATTTTTGTAATGTAATTAGAATAATCTTTGATGCTTCAGGGCTTAAACCAATAAAATCAGGAAGAGAACAAAGATATCTGCATACTGTAAAACTCTGTCCTTTTCTTCTGGTACATCTGCTGCTAATCCAAGGTGAGCTACAGGGCTGGGCTGGGCCCTGGGGCTGCCTGGATCAGCTGTGGCAGGCCCTGTGCTCCTCAGGGAACCTGGAGGGGAATCTGGACACTCATTCTTTAGGTAAACCAGGGTGTGAGAAGAGGAGGATGAAGTGGAGAGCAGATGGGTTTTCTGTGACTTTGATTGAGAGGTTTATGTGATTATATGTGAATAACTGCAGGTCTGCCCAAAGGGAAATAAACAGTGCAAACCAGGAAACTTTCAAATTCATGAGGTGACTTCCAGCAAAACAATGGGATTTATTAGAAGAAGTGATTTATCTCCACATCCTTCCTGAACTGGAGCACTTGAGGCAAACTTGAGGCTCCAATTGCAAGAGTCAGAATCTTTAATAATAATTAATAATAATAATAATAATAATAATAGTAGTAGTAATAAATATAAATCAGAGGCAAGGTTCTGACTGAGGAGCTTTAAGTGGGCAAGAGGTCAATCAGCACTAAAGAGCTCTCCCTGAGTGGAGATGGAAAAGGGGATGGAGTGGGTGGTGACCAGGAGGAACTGGGAAGGAAATCCCACTGTGCAGGGCTGAAGTGATGTGGGGAGTTGGGATGTGTGTGCAGGGGATGGGGATGGGGATGGGGGCTGCTTCAGCTCCACCCCGCTGGCAGAGACTGGGAAGGGGTGGGAGTCTGGCAGCACCATGGGAAATCCCTGAGGAACTGGGTGCTCCTTCAGGTGCCTTCCAACCCCACCCATTCTGGGGCTGGCAGTGTAGGAGTCACTCTTCTAAGATGTGTGGGTGATCTGAGGGAGGTGAGGCCCTGGCACAGGTGCCCAGAGCAGCTGGGGCTGCCCCTGGATCCCTGGCAGTGCCCAAGGCCAGGCTGGACAGGGCTGGGAGCACCTGGGACAGTGGAAGGGGTCCCTGCCATGGCAGGGGTGGGATGAAACAATCATTAAGGTCCCTCCCAATGCAAACCTGTGACTGGGCAGGTTCCTACACACGGGTTCTGCTGGTCCAGAGTGTGCTGGAGGCCAGGTGATGACAGCAGCTACATCTGGTCTGGTATTTATGAAGGAGGAATTAAAGGTTGTCTCCAAAAAATGTGCTTGGTCTGGTGGGAACATCTGAGAGATGCATTCTGCATTAGCTGGAATTGGAAATGTGCCAGGGCATGGATTTGCAGGTCAGGAGGGGATGGCAACAGGTGCTGTCCCTTTGGGTGTCAGAGCTTTGGAGTGAAGGGAACAAAACCAGCATGTTCCAGCATCCTCGAGATCTGGGTGTGCAGAAGAAAAATGGGTCTGGAGATCTTAAAATAGAACGAGCTCAGCTGCATTACTTCGGGTTTGGGAGTACGGGGTTACATCCAAACTCCTCCTCCTCACCGCTGCATTGGTACCCACCTCGGCGGGCGGAGGATCTCGTTCCCATGGCACAACCCGGATGGATGCTTTGGATGCCCTGGGCTGGCTGGCTGCTCCCGCTGTCCCCGGCTGTCCCCGGCGGCACTGCCGGGCCCCGCGAGCGGGAGAGCCCGCGGCGCTCCGCTCCGCGCCGGGAGAGGCAGACGGAGGCGGAGGATGCTGCTGCCGCTGCTGCTCCGGCGGGGCTGAGCGAGCATCCCCCGCGCAGCGCCTGTGGCGGGCGCTCCCGAGCCGCGCTCCCGAGCCCGGCTCCGGCTGCGGGGGGCAGGGAGCGGGAGCGGGAGTGAGAGCGGGAGCGGGGCCGCCGCGGTCCCCCCGCTTCCCCGGCCCGCAGCGCCGCGGGTCCGGCTACACCGGCAAGCCGCCATCCCCGGCAGGGCGGGCAGGGGCCGGGCCCCGGCTCCATGCTGTGCCCACGCTGTGCCCGTGCCCAGCTCCGTGCCCGTGCCCGGCTCCATGCCCGTGCTCAGCTCCATGCCGTGCCCACGCCGTGCCCGTGCCCAGCTCCATGCCCGTGCTCAGCTCCATCCCGTGCCCACGCCGTGCCCGTGCCCAGCTCCATGCCCGTGCTCAGCTCCATCCCGTGCCCACGCCGTGCCCGTGCCCAGCTCCATGCCATGCCCGGCTCATGTCCGTGCCCGGCTCATGTCCGTTCCCAGCCGCATGCCCGTGCCCGGCCCCACGCCGTGCCCAGCCCGTGCCCGTGCCCAGCCCCATGCCGTGCCCGGCTCCATGCCCATGCCCGTGCCCAGCCCCACGCCGTGCCCAGCCCACAGCCCATGCCCATGCCCGTGCCCATGCCCGTGCCCGGCCCATGCCCGCGGGGCGGAGCGGCGGCGCTGCGCAGGGCGGCGGGCGGGGCGGCGGGCGG